GTAAATGTAAACAAACTTGTTTGTCTTAGCGATTGGCTGAACAAGAAGTAGGACTGAGTGGACTTTAGGCTCTGAAGTTTTACATAACTTCAAAACTTAGATAACAAAAACAAAACTATGTAACAAAAAAAAAATCTACATTTGTAAATTGCACTTTCACGACAAAGATTGCACTACAGTATTTGTATGAGGTGAATTGAAAAATACTATTTCTTTTGTTTATCATTTTTACAGTGCAAATATTTGTAATAAACAATATATGCTTTAATTTCAATTATAACACAGAATATGATATGAAAATGTAGAAAAACATCCAAAATATTTAATAAATTTCAATTGGTATTTTATTGTTTAATAGTGCGATTAAAACTGCGATTAATTTTTTAAAATCGCGATTAACTGTTTTGCATTAATCGCATGAGTTAACTGCGATTAATCGACAGCCTTACTAAATATATATTAGTCATGTTTCTTGGAATTATTTGACTAATTTATAAAATATATTAGCCAGAATTAAAAGGAAACATATACTTAAAAATTTTTTAAAAATAAGTTTTAGTGTCCACACATCTATCCTGTTCTTGACACTCTAAGCATTATATATCAGCATTCACACACAGATCTGCATCCTCAGGACCCTCCCTGAACCAACATAACCCAAACTTTCAGAAGGGACCTTCTACACTGTATCCACAGAAGTTTTTGTATGTGCTTGCCTGCACACTCATACTTCACAGAGTCTAATTAGCATTTTTGTACCAGATGTCACCTTCATTTTTGTGAAGTGCCGAAAATTTGAGATACTATAAAATCAATGTTTTTGCATGTACAATGGTTATCCTCGTTTGCAAGCAGATAATCATACAAGTGCAGATATTACAGAACAATTTGAGAGCATTTTTGAAAATCTGACCAATGAAGTTTTCACGCACATTTGGAGCAGTTTTAGTCCTGTAGAAGAGTGAGAGAATACTCATTGTATAATTTAGCATTTTGCTAGCAAACTAATGTTAATAGTCAAAAAGGCATCTGCTTTATTTCTAAACGCTTTTAAAAGCAGCTTAATACAACGCACCATGCATGCAAAGAGCATTAAACAGAGTTTTCAAAAGCACTCAGCAGTGACCTAACTCTGCCCCCACTTAAGTAAATGGGAGTTTTACCACTGACTTCAACAGGAACGAAGTTAGACCAATGCTGACTGCATCTGAATATCCCACAAAATGATTTGATTGCAGTGGACAGAATGCAGCTATCTTTATAGGCACATGCAATCAATATCCATTCACACAACTACATCCTCAGGGCACTCCCTGCACTGACGTGATCCAAGAGATCACTCCGCTGCCTACTTACGTCAGGAGAGCATCTGAATGGGACCAAGAAGCTCTTGTTGCTTCTTTGCCAGGCCCTAGTATCTGCAATTTTAAGTTTCTCATCCTAGGTTTAGTGGGCAGTGGGTGAAGCTTTCCCTTGGGGAGGCTAGCCCCCTGCCCACCTCTTCCGGCCGAGGGCCTGCCCCCACTCACTGCTCTATCCCCCTCCTCCCCCGTGGCCAAGGGGGTGGGGGAGAGCTCGGCTGGGACCGCGGCAGAGCTCTCTGCCCTGGCTGAAGAGCCGAGCCCGGAGCCCCTCCCGCTTCGACTGCAGCCCCACCCCATTCCATCCACCCATGGGCCTGCCTCCATTCCATCTCCACTCTGCCCCTTCCTCTTTGAGGCCAGGCCCCCCACTAGCTCTCCCCCCCCCCACCGCCCCAAGATCAGAAAAGGCCTGTGCCCCCACCGCAGCTCCAGAGCTGTAGCGGGGAGCAAGAGCTCCTCCAGCCCTGGGCTGTGATGGGGGGAAATTTTTCAGGGGTCCCCAAATCTTGCACTGTCGTTCTCTCCCCCCCGCCCTCGACGGCGCAAGGTTTGGCCTCCCCCAGCCTCCATTATGCACCACCTATGCTAGGTTTGCTATGGTGGTTGAAGCAAGAAGAACACATGAAACTTTAGCACATCTAGCATGTAAATATCTTGTGACGCCGGCTACAACAGTGCCATGAGAACACCTATTCTCACTTTCAGGTGACATTGTGAACAAGAAGCGGGCAGCATTATCTCCTGCAAATGTAAACAAACTTGTGTGTCTGAGCGACTGGCTGAACAAGAACTAGGACTGAGTGGACTTATAGGCTCTAAAGTTTTACATTGTTTTATTTTTGAATGCAATTATTTTTTGTACATAATTCTACATTTGTAAGTTCAACTTTCATGATAAAGAGATTGCACTACAGTACTTGTATTAGGTAAATTGAAAAATACAATTTCTTTTGTTTTTTGCAGTGCAAAGATTTGTAATAAAAATAAATATAAAATGAGCAGTGTACACTTTGTATTCTGTTTTATAATTGAAATTAATATATTTGAAAATGTAGAAAGTATCCAAAAATATTTAAATAAATGGTATTCTATTATTGTTTAACAGTGCGATTAATCGCACAATTAATCGTGATTTTTTTTTTTAACCGCACGATTAATCGTGATTATTTTTTACCTGGTTGTCAGCCCTAGTATATACATACAGGATATATTCCTCTTGGGACTCTATTGGTAAGTGTAAATATTCTCATCCAATAAGAGACCTTATTCCTTTAGACAGTGCAATTTACATGACTTAAGACATGACATATTGGTGAAACTAAAATACACGTTACTCAATGGGTTAAACCCACTCTCCAATGAGCTATCAACACTTTTGACTAAACATAGAATCTTGTTCTAGATATAATGGACAACTGACGAAGTATACAAAAATTCTCCATTTGGCATCTTGTAGAAAAAAATATCAAAATAGCTTTGCAGATAAACACTAATTCTGGACTATATTTAAATTAATGGAAAGAAAACCAATGTACCAGTCTTCAAATTCTGTCTAGAAATTGTCAGAAGATCTATTTGTCCCACCCAGCGCTTGAATTGGGGAAATGTCTTGTGTCTCTCCATTTTTCCTCCAGTGTCGCTTTTAATTTTCTTCTTCAAACTAGCAACAGCCTGAAGACTGAGGATATGGCATTACCACCCACACCTCTCTTGCCCAGTTCAAATACTGAAAGCTATTCCATTTCCTCAGAATCTTCCAGCTATTAGCAACACTCACTAAGGCTATGTCTTCACTACCCGCTGATCCGGCAGGTAGCAATAGGTCTATCGGGGATCGACTTACCGCGTCTAGTGAAGACGCGATAAAATTGATCCCTGATGGCTCTACCGTCGACTCCGGAAATCCACCGCGGCAAGAGGCGGTAGCGGAGTCAACGGCGGCGCAGTAGCGGTCGACTTGCCGCCGTCCTCACAGCCAGGTAAGTCGACCTAAAATACGCCACTTCAGCTACGCTATTCACGTAGCTGAAGTTGCGTATCTTAGGTCGACCCCCCGCTGTAGTGTAGACCTAGCCTAATTCCCTCTGCAGATGGTCTGATTTGCCATCCACGTTAAGCTTATACTTATTAATAAGTATTTTTAAAACCATTCACTTTGAATTAGCAATAGAGCTTAGCAATTTTCCTTTTTTGAAGGGAGGTAGGGAACTACCACTCAGGGAAGTACACAGGGAGTTGGCTATCAGGGTTGTTGCCATGGGTGCTAAACCATCACCGAGGATGATGTGGGGTGTGTGCGCGCACCAAATCAGGGTCTTTTTTTTTGTTTAGCCATTCAGGGGGCATCAAAAACATGTCCCACCCTATGTGACAACACACCTGTGGCCATCCCTAAGTACACAAAAGGCACCAGATCCTCAGATATTCAGAATGAAAGGTTAAAAATATAGGAGGTACAAAACCAAAATGTAGACATGTTACAAACCCAACATAAGAGGCTGGCAGTGTTTGCCTGAAACACTCCACTGCGCTAGCAGATGTTGACTTTGCTGAGAAAGTGGATTAAGTGAGTGTCACTAATTCATGGAGGTAGGTGGTTCAACCCCACACGGATGTAAGGGAGAGTAGGGAGCAGCATGTTCCATCTCTTGGATCTAGGGTTTGGACTGAGGAAGGAACTGTAGAAGCAGCCAAGCCTGGGGTGGAGTTTTGAGCTGAACTTGATGTTATTGTTAATTTAAATGTTGAAGGCAAACTCCAGGAAAGGGTGAGTGTTTGACTCTACACAACGTGTGGATTTTATCTGAGAGCAGGCTGGGAAAGGACTTACTCCCACCCCAAAACTATGAAAAACAGATTAAAGCAACGAGATTGCACTACATGCTTAGGGTTATTTTTAAGATCTTTCTGCTGCCCTCTTGTTCCCTGGTTTAGTCAAAGTGATAAAAAAGCATCTGTTTTGTGACCCACACTCTATGGATAGTGTAGGAACAATTGAGAAATGGATCTTTGGTGCTTATTCCCATTTCAGATACATGCCGAGTAATAATAATAATAAAAAAAAATCAATGATGCCTTTGAAGATATAGGACATTACTGTATGTGGCCCACTTAGAAGATTACTGTGTCTGAATGATCAGCACATTTAAAAATACAAATCAATCCATTTTCTGCTTTTGGGCCAGCACTTAGGATCTGGAAAAGTTCCAGTTACCAGAAAACCGGACTATGCTAGCAATTTCCTGTGAAGATGTGTGGGAGGGGGGAACTATTTGTTACATTCTTGAGTAGTTTATATCACCCAGGTTCAGCAGCAAAACAGTCAACTGGCTTTGTCTCCAACATTAGGTACACTGGAGTCATGGAATTTATTTCCCAGACCGTGAAATCTTCAGTAATAATGTGGCAGGTCAAAACAGACCAACAAAATGAATGCCCACAAAAAGTCCATTTATGTAATCTAGGATGGTGAGCCCCAGATAGCGCGAAGTACAAACACAAAGAGCGTGGTGGCTACGTGTTGAAACACCATTTCTAATTTGACCCCATATTTATATAAGCTATTGATAGCAGATTAAGACATTACTATACCATTATCCGTAAAACGGGAATGGAAATCTCCAAGATTTACAATACCTGCAGTGGGGGAGTTTGCATGATGCGACTTTTTTGGTAAGTTAAAGATCTGTTCACCGGGATCTGGTGGGGGGAGAGCATCTTGGCCTTGTCGAGCCATGACAGGATCATACTCTTTACCGTCATAGTTGGCATCAAAGAACTTCTTAAACCATTGGATAAAATCTAAGTTGTCTTGGAAGCGCCCTTTCACCAATTTCTCCACTGGAATCACCTGTAAAATACAATGGTAAAAGGTTCCATTAAACACTGCATTGCCAGTACATTCATATTTCTCAGATTATCTAACAATTTAACTACCAACGTGGTGTCTCCTGCATCATTCTGGATTAAGAGTTATATGGTTAAGGTCTTCTCAGCTTTGTGTGTAGTTATATATAAAGCCCCTTTAAATACTCATTTTCTAGCACTATTTTCCCATGAACGACATTAAGCTAACCTCTCAATAGTGCATGTTCTTCTAAAAGGTAGAAGTACCAGTAGTATGATACCACAGTACAGAGTCTTGCAACCTGACCCAAACCCCACGGGACCCCATCTACAAGTGTCGGGTTCAGCTCGGGTCTGAAAACAACCCAACACATTTGGGCTTGACTCGGTTAGTCTCTCATCTCCTCCTGCCCATGGGTTGGTGAGGCAAGGTGGCAGAGGCTGCTGAGTGCCCTGCTCCTTCTGGCCATGGTTGTGCTGCGCTGTGTGCGCCATGGAGCGAGCGTGCTGAGGAACTGTAACATCTATTATGCTGTAGCACATACAGCACAGTGAGGTGGGGGCAGCCGGCTGCACTGGTACATGCAGACACTGCTGTGACGACCCCAGAAGCAGGAGGTGGATGGAGATGGATTGTGGGCACAGGGCGTGGGGAGCCCCCACCAGGCCAAACCCCAAGGATGAGACGGCAGCAGTGTTGACACAGGTTGGGAAAGTGGGGAAGAATGTCAGATTTCGGTTGGGTCAGGTCTGAAAACAACTTGACACTCGGGTTGGATTTGGGCAGCCATGAGCTAGTCAAGTTTGGGATGGGCTTTAAAATTAGGCCTGTGCAGATCTCTACCATTGTACATAAGCCTTTACAACTGTTCTTCCTCAGATATGCTCCTTTTAGCTTTGAGTGACAACTGGGTTGTATGTAGCCAGTCTGAAACTACTGTCATCTTTAACAAGTAGTAACGGGGAGTCTGTTGGAGATTTTAGTTAACATATTTCATGCGATTAGATGCAGGTCCTAAAAATGAACAATTTCTTCAAAAAGCAAAGGGTCAGAATCTGGCTTGCCCTGAGTAGGTGTGCAAGGAGCTGTCAGAACACAGGAAATCCTCTTTCACACTGCCCTGTGTATGCATGGTGGGGAAACAGAATCTCAAGTGTTCTCATTAGACAAACCTATGTAAGCACCGTTAGTGCTAGGTATGTCTGCAAAAGGCTTACAGAATCATAGAAGTGTAGGGCTGGAAGAGACCTCAAGGTATCATCTAATTGCTCCCCCCTGTCCTGAGGCAGGATTAAGTAAACCTAAACCATCCCTGGCAGGTGTTTCTCTAACCTGTTCTTAAAAACCTCCAGCGATGAGGATTCCACAGCCCCTTGAAAACCTATTCCAGTTCTTAACTATACTTACAGTTAAAAAGTTCTCCCTAATAGCTAATCTAAATCTCCCTTGCTGGACATTTATTCAATTACTTCTTGTTCTACCCCCAGTGGCCAGGAATACAACTGATCACCATTCTCTTTATAATAACCTTTTTCATATTTAAAGACTTATGTCGTCCTCCTTCAGCCTCTCTTCTCTAAACTAAACTAAACACGCCCAATTCTTTCAACCTTTCCTCATCATTATCTCCTGCAAATGTAAACAAACTTGTTTGTCTGAGCGATTGGCTGAATACGAAATAGAACTGACTGGACTTACAGGCTCTAAAGTTTTACATTGTTTTACATCAGTCATGTTTTCTGAACTTTTTTTTTTTGGTGCTCCCCTCTGGACTCTCTCCAATTTGTCCACATCTTTCTTAAAGTGGGGTGCCCACGATACTGTATGTCTCCAAAAGGGAAAGAAGCTGCTCCTTGGTGCACTCCTACAAAATCCTCAGAAGCATTCTGCCCACCTGTGTCCTGCGCAAGAAGATTGTCACCAACCAATACTGCTATGCCCTGGCACCCTCTGTAGTGAAGCAATGGATTTAAAAGCCACAATGGAGTTCAAACTCATCTATATTTTTGAAATACACACTCATTCTAATAGCAAGGTACTAATCTGATCATTCCCACCCCACCTTCCACACATGCTGTATATAGAATGGTTTGTTTACATGCAAGAGTTCGGGAAACTGCCCATGGAGTTTTAATGAGCTATAATGGAGACAGAGAAAGTCTCTTCTGAATCAATATCTTGTGAATTCTTCACCAATGAAGATAAACCTTTACAAATATAGATGTTTTGTATGTGCAAAACTGAAACATGATAGCATTTTAAACTTATTCAGTTTAGTTTCTCATGTTGCTACTGCTTACACAAACTGGGCAAATTCATGTTGAGAAACAGTTAATCTTATACCACTTCAAATTTAGTCTGAGTAAAACGTGTGATAGGATCCTATCTGCACACAGAATATACACCTGATTGTATCAAAGGGAAGTAGCCTGGGGAACACAGAGGATGGGTCAACATGATTGATTAAAGTCAGGGAAAGAAAAGGTAAAGACATATTTAGCTTTACAGAACAAATAATGCACAACAGGTGAGAGACTAAACACCACAAAGAACAAACATTGAAAAAAAGCTTCGTTTGTCAATGTGTATTTTGCTAGGAAAGTCGACCTGCTTGGACAAAATGCTGATTACATATTTTATACGTTTTCTACATTTAAGACAGGCAGGGCATGGTTTGATTTGTTTATAGGTAATGTTCAAAGGTAAATTCTGGATAGATTGCATGGTTTCATATGTTTTAAGGCCAGAAGGGACTAGTAGGATCATCTTCTCAGAACTCCTTCATAACAGGCCATAGAAGCATCAAGCCCATATCTTGTGGTTGAGGTAGTTTGTTTGTTTGTTTGTTTATTTAAAGAAAGACATCCAATCTTGATTTAATGACTTACCAAGCAACATGGTTCCATCATTTGGAAAGTTGTTCCAATAGTTAAAAATGTACAACTCTTCATATCCTACCGCGAGTAAGTAGTATTCAGTACAAAGATAGATACAGAATGCTTGTTGTTTACTTCTATTGGGAATTCTGAGTGTCACCACACATGATCTTGAGTTTTCCCCTCACCTTATGAAGATCCCAGTATTTATTCATTTTAAGGATCTTCCAATGGATATCATTTTATCATGAGGCCCTCTCGTGAACTTGGGGACCTAATGAGCGGTAATTTTTAAATTATTGACAACTAACTATTTTGGGCCCACTTTTTCACCTTGAGCACTAGGGGTTCCTGTTTACACATTTTCTGCCTTTGTACCCAAATAACCATTTTTAGATGTCAAAATGCCAGTGAGAGCATCTAAATACAGAACTGGGATCTCTAATTCAGGCTTTAGAGTTTGAAAAACTGGATCTGGTTATTATCATTTTGGTTCCCAATGTCCATTGTACACTACGCAGTATAGAAAATTGTTTTGTAAAACATTACAATTATTTAAATATTAAAAACGTACCTTATCCACATTCATTCTTTTAAATGATGCTTGCAGAAGTTTGAAATTGTGAATGTACTCGTGCTCCAGCTTTGCCTGAAATTTTACTTTCTTCAAGCTAATGCACCCTGGGAACAACATGTCCATGAACTGGCAGTAAGCTGCTCCTATAACAAGAAAATGCATTGACATTAATCTTGATGCACCCAGCTATAACTAAGTGGCATTTATAGTCAGAAAAGAAAGTAACCATGCTTAATAGCTACTGCTGTAATTCATTTCTAGTGCCATGTACCCAACATCTATCTGTCCACTACAATGTTGAATAGTGTAAGTGGCCTATTAATATCTATATTATTTTCATTCAGTCTGGATGCACCAAGCACTGTCGTGTAACATCTAAAGGATGACCGTGACTGAGGCAAAGTAAATCATTCTTCCATTTACAACTGGCGTTGTACTGAAGTAGAATCCCTATACACAGTAGGGCTGCCTGCACAGCAAGTAAAGTCCCTAGCTCAGTTTAAATGGAAGCCACCTAATAAGTGTCTTCAGACCCCTACAGTTTCCCAAAGTTGGATCAAGGGAAAATATTTTTGTTTCCTGGAACCAAAGAAATCAATGGCATTGATATAAGGTAGCTTGCTCAGTTCGCAGCCAATCCTATTCAGTGCCCTCATCAAGTAGAGGCTTAAAATGAGAGAGCAAAAAATGAGAGAGTGCAAAGTGACACGAATACAGGTTGGAAAAAAGAGTTTCAGAATTATGGCATCTAAGGCCATTTCTCCCCCTCCCCTCCCCCCCCCCGCTCCCCCTTCCCCAAAACAAAATCCTGCAATTTTTCATCTCTAAAACTCAAAACGTAAACATTTGGATAAGGAGACACTCAGAGTCACCTCATTGCCCAAAGCGTTCAGATATTGGGCTCCTCTTACTGCTGCCAGTTTTAATTCTTTCACAAAACAGGGTTACTAAATTTAGCATGAGGGTTCATTAAATTTAGATGCCAGCCACAGGGGATAAAAATGTGCAACTACACAAATATGCAGGGAAATTAAAAAAAAAAAAAAGGTGAACTAACTAGGCATATATAGGTAGCACTTTGTTACACCTAGTGACCTTTCCCTTAAAAGGTCCTTATGTCACAGCAGATCATCATTGGGGAAGGGGGGAATCTTTACTATCAAGACATGAAAATGTCATGACATTTTGGTGACGTGTTAAAATGTGGGGAGGGGAAATTAGGGCATGGGGGGGGGAGGCTGAAGAGAAAACAACTCAGATTCTTTGTGGAACAATGATGTCCTCTACCCTGGGAGAGTATTCCACTGTATTAGCATATTTAAGGTCAATTTTCAGATGTGCATAGGCTCAACCACCTATATATCTATCTGTGTATGAAAGTCAGATAATTGCACATTAAAACTATTTGCACAATAAGTTTTTAAACTTGTTGTGCAAATAGTATTTATCAAAAGGGCTGTTTTGTGCAATCAACTGATGTATGGGGCAGGTCTAACAGGCACAACTTGGGTACCTGCTTTTAACAATTTGGCTCAGTGTCACACAAATATTCTTTTTTAATCAAAGTTTTAGAAATTGTTTGTAGTCTTACAAGGTGACAGATGTGTTGGATCCTAGATTATCCTCTATTTATCCACAGGACAGATACAGCACAGATAGCAACAGTTGAAACTCTACCACACTTTTCTATCAATATGCCTCAAACATGTTCTGGAGGGCCCATTATTCTCTATACTCAGTCAACCATCATATGAAGGGAGGCAGAGGCTGTCTTCCAGAAAAGAAAAAAATAAAACAGTTTGAGCTAGAGTCACAGGAAAACGAGTTACATAAGCTACAAATGAGGCTTTCATGTGACTTATTGTCAAGGCTGTGACAACAGCCAAGACTCAGTGCTAGAAACTGCTGCCATTTTTAATACCCTCTTTGCACAGCATTTCTTAGGAGGTATATTTACACTTACTGACTTTGTAGGTGGAGTTTACAGGAAGGATTTGAATTTCCAAAGACACCTTTTAGCTATTTGCGATGGCTTTGGTATGCTTAGGATGTAAAATAAAGAATCCCTGTAGAACAGGAGCCTTGTGGCAAGTTAAAAACCTCAGATAATGCATCATCATACAGAAAGCTTTGTAAAGCAAACTAATTGCACAGAGCCTACATTTATATTGCATGGGAACTAGTAAATAAATGCCCACCAATAGAAAGTATGTGAAATATTATTGCTGAAAAGGAAGATGAGTAGAGTGATACAGTACTGAATGGCTTGACTTGAGTAATAAATAATATGGTATAATATGTGGATTTATTTAGTATGCAGTGTTGTCCTAGCCATGTCAATCCCAGGATATTAGAGAGACAAGGTGGGCGAGGTAATATTTTGTATTGGACCAGTTTCTGTTGGTGAGAGAGAGACACGCTTTCGAGCTACACAGAGCTCTTCTTCAGGTCTGGGAAATGTACTAAGAGTAACACAGCTAAATACTAGATTCAACAGATAGTTTAGCATAAGTAGTTAGCACGTATTCTAAGGGAACATTCAAGGTGAAGTAGCCCTCTAAAACCCCTGCAGTCATAGGACAAAAAAAGGGAAAGGGGCTAGTGGGTTACAGATTGTTGAAATAAAACCTAAGTCCAGTGTCTTTATTAAAACCATGATTTTTAGTTATGAAATTTAAGCTCCTAGGTGTGTCTTTTAAAAGTGTTGTGCAGGTTTCCTTTGAGGATGTGGACTGATAGGTCAGATATAGAGTGATCGCTTTGTTCAATCTAAGGGGTCAATTGTGTAACTGATTCATGGTATAAAGGGAGTTTGCACCAAACTCTCTCCCCCGACCCTTTCCCCACATATAAGCTTATACTCTAATACCTAGGTAATTGCCAAGAGTCCCTGAATACTCACTGCAGAACCGCTTGTGTTAAAGATATTCAGTGCTGAGGGTCTCACCATTTTATCTATAGCTGTCATTTTGTAAGTATACATGTGTTTGCAAAGTCATCTTTTATTGTTTCTGCTGGTAACAAATTCCTTTTGCATCCCTCTAGGCAGTAGCTTACTAAGTTTGAAACCCTGGTGATGACGCTTCCCCGTGCTCTCTTCTCCCTCTCATGCTGGTAGTTGTTTTTCTTGTATTTCATATCAGCCAATAGGAGGTTCTGGTTCTGTGCAATACCCAAATGCCAGAAACACTGAGTACATCCACTTTACAGTACTGACCTGAACTGTGATCTCCGATAACAACACAGTTTGCTGCCAGAACACTTCCTCTACAGTAAGTTTCATTACAGTAACAAATATAAAAGTGGAGTAGGATGGGCCAAATTTGACATCAAAGACTAACTCACATCAAGTCACAATCACCAGCTGACGTGTTTTAGGAACTCTAGAAAGGAGAGAGGTGTCAGAGCTCAAATATGTGTCAGGACAAGTGTCAAAAAAACTATTATAGCTATTATGTAATTTACATGAACAAGATTTCTGCAGCAGATTTACCACTTGTCATTTACTTTATTTTAAAACTTTACCTTCTCTGCTCTAGTTTACAAAGCAAAAAAGTGGATGTTGGAAACAGTACAGCAACAACCACACTAGAACTGTCTCTCATGGTTAGTCTGTCTCTGTCCAGCCACAACCACATCAGAACTATCATCTCTCATGGTTAATCTGCCTCCATCTACCCCCTACTATATTTCCCTCCACATCTTATTTTTTGAAAATATTACCAGGGACTCAGCTTAAAAAAAAAAAAAAAAAATTATAAAAAAAAAAAAAAAAAAAAAGAAATTATAATCAGCAATATAGCAATAGAGAGGTTACTGAATTTTGTAGATGCACCAATGCTGGAACAGAATAAGAAAGGGTTTTTAACAATTATTAAAATCAATTCTGAATTTCTATGTAAATCTTATATTAGTTGTTTTTCTGGCATATTGATCTGGTCATCGACTTCTTTAATATTCTGAGGCTAGATCACAGAAAGTATTTGCAAGCATGGTTGTGCTGATTACACACGAATGGTCACTACTTTTGACCCAATTAGTATGTAGAAATTCTATACCCATTTTAAAATTAAGTGGCATAGCAACTAACTATTTTTTATACACAGCAGTATTGCCTACTTCTGTTGTATACAGCTGGCAGAAAGACACTTGAAGTTGATTTGTTTTAAGTATTTATATTTAGAAGAAAATAACTAGTTCCCCATACAGTGAAGTTACAATTGATGGTTTCTATAATCCTGAATCAGGCTAACATGCCAAAGTATTACTGCTTCTGGCCCATGGGAGGCTTATGAATAATATTTTCCTTCCCTCCAAGAGAGAAAATTCCATTGTGATTAAGATCTAAAAGCTGAACATCACTAAGTCTTCATAACTTGGGTGTGGAAGTGTGTGTGCTGAGTTGCTCTGCCACCAAGCCCTTTACACTGAGGCTTTTTCTTGGTTTCCTGCATAGAGATTACTACACAGCATGCCTCAAATGTAAATAACAAGACTACACCCACAGTGCTAACTAGGATGACTACAACCGTAGTAGGGGAGGGAACTGGCATCTGTGGCAGAATAAAGGCATGGAAGAAGAAACTGCTGATTGTAAAAGTGTCAAATGATTACATTTTAATTAAAATGTTTCAGTATATACAAAGTTAAGGCTGACATTTGCTGCTGATTGTACATTTCTTTAAAATCAGACCTACAGTTAAAATAGTAGTAAATGGTAGTTCTTAATAATGTTTTCAAAGTTGCACACATTCATTTTCTTGATAACTCAAGTTTTCTTTGTCTTCAGCACCGTGCATCCAGGTCCCCTCTTGCCCTTTTTTTTCCTCCTGGGAAACAATCTGCACTCTTTCTGCTCAACACCTGGAGGCTGGAGCCTTCTGATCTTTAATATGGCCCAGAATCTTGTGTCCTGGGATTTGTGGCATTTCAAAGGGACAATGAATACATCACTCACTTTCACTAACACAACTGGACATGAGCTGCTGCTGTTTAATATGATTCACATACAGCTTAGCTGCATTAGAGAGTGAAGCATTATCACCATGGTATCCAAGCACTGAATGGGAGCCTTGGTGCAATTATTATTATTAAATAGTCAATATAAATCCAGAGTTCACAATGGAAACATTGAGAGACTGAT